TCTTTCTACATGATTGCTAATTTAAATTTTAGAGTTAGAATAAAAATCTGAATTATTTTAATTATTAATTTTTTACACTATGGTGATTTTTTTTTTTTTTTTGTTTCTTTTGTTCTACACCCTACTTTAGCCAGAATAAATGACTTTTTTGCATGCCTATTTTAGTAAAAATAAATGTCTTTTTGCTTACCTATTTTAGGCAAAATGAATGCCTTTACTTCTGAGCTCTAATAATTATATACAATTTTCTCTATTACTACTATTTTCTAAATGGGTTTAATTTTGCCTTTAACAATTTTTGTGTTATAAAAAAATTATTTACGAAAATACTTTGTAAATACAAATATTTATATAATTATCTTGATAATTATCCAAAATTGGAAGAAAATAATTTACAAAGGTATCAGGATATCAAAAGAAAATATTTTAAATATTTTACTCTTCGCAGATGATGCTTTGATATTCCAGGAAACAGAAGATGATTTACAATATGCATTATTCCACTTAAATCATTTACGTAAAAAATACGATGTTGAAATATCAAAAGAAAAAACAAAATTGATCGCATTTTGGGGAAAACATTTAATAAGATCAAAAATTATTTTGGACAAAAAAATCTTAGAGCTAATTTCCAATTTCAATTACTTAGGTTGTGAAGTCGATCAAGATACCAAAAAAGATATCAACATTAAATTGGCAAAGTTTCAAAGGATTTGTGGTACTATACATAACACACTAAAGAACAAGACTAGACAAGACACAAGAATAAAGTTTTATAAGACTATGGCTCTTCCAACTCTTCTATACGGAAACCAACAAAAAAAATTTTAAGCAGAATTCAGGCCGCTGAAATGAAGTTTTTGAGGAGAATGCTAGGCTGTACAAAAGAAGATCATATTCATAATGAGAAGATAAGAGAAAAATTAAATGCTGAAGAAATTGGAAGCAAAATAAATAATTATTGAGATAATTGGTATCAACACACGCAAAGGATGGATGACTCAAGACTACCTAAATTAGCTTTACTCTACAAGTCGCTTGGAAGGAGAGATGTGGGAAGACCCAAAAAAAGATGGAAGGAAAACTTGTGAAGACGGAACAGGCTCAAGCCTAATCCATGAAGTGCAGAAGAAGAAGAAGATTATCTTGACCAACTGCAGGTTTTTGAGTTAGTTTTATAGTTTAAAAATAGTGGCAATTAAATATCACAGTGTTCTACAAACATCTAATTCTCTAAACATCATACGTGTCCACAATGAAATGAGAATTAAAAATTTGAATGCAACTTCTAACATAAGTATGAAGTAAATGTTAAATGCAATTCTGGATTGAAGGAGGAAACATTTCTTTTCTAAACATTATTGACTTAAGATTAAACGTATCTAAATATCTTAAAAAATACTTCTCAATAGGATGAACAATAAAAGATATGAAACATTGTAAATATTTGAAATTTAACTTACATTAAAACTAGAATTTACACTCTAGGAGGATTTCGTTAAAGAAAAAAGGACACAGATAATTTTTTGCACAATTAATAACACACACGCAATATGTAATGTTTGCTTTATAATGCATTTTTTAACTTCTTCAAATCAAACTTACAATAAATAATATTTTTTGCATTTAAATAGATAAATAAAACCATATTTGAATGTGAAAAAATCATAATTTTGACAAACATATTCCGCTTAAATTAGCCAATTATTTTCAAATGAAATACACCTTTGTCAAATTATGAATTATTTTTAAAATAATGTTGGTAGAATGAGTATTTAAAATGATAATCGTACGACAGTAGCCAGTTTCTAAGTGCTATTCAGTTCCTCCCAGAATTAACAATAAAATATTTCCTTTGAAAAACAATATTATGTTCAAGTTATTCTTTGTACATCGATGTTTTATTTAGATCGATATTTGATCTAAACAATTCGACAGAAGCATCAATGGTTTCAGAGTGAAAAAAACAAAAACATTTCATTCTCATGATAAATAAAATTTTCTATCTTCCATTTTTTCTTGATTTCTCAAGTTTAACAGGGACTGCCTCTGTCATTTCTCATTACTATCTGCTGTTGATCCTCACACTGAATAAAACTTTTGCAACCTTCCTCCACAGTTGGCAAGTTACAGGTTCTACCCTTAAATTCAGGGTTTTATTCTCCTTTAGTGAAAATTCTCAGGGAAATTTCTGTACTGTTTGTTAATTGAGTTTTCTCTTTTTTCTTCTTCTTCTTTTTTTCTTTTAGAAAGTTTGACTTTATTATACTTTTTACAAAATATTGAACCTAATATGTTTCATACCAATAGTAAACAATTCATGAAAGTGAATAAACTGGTTCAATATCTGCTGTTTATACCTTGTCCTAAGGTGCACAAGGATAAAGATGAAACAAATTATTTAAAATCAAATTTTAAGCATTTATCAACATTGCACAACTGATTCCTCGAGAAGAGAATCTTACAATATTGCAAGACAAAAATTGTACTTTCTAAGGAATAAAATTACAAACCATTTCAAATTAATTTTAACTGTTTTGGTTAAAGAATTGACTCCAGAAGCGTTTTGAAATAGACTGTTTATAATTATTATTAAATGGCTCCTAGGGTAGCTCATGGACAACAGGCTAGCATGTTGTGAGGTGGTCCTGGAATCGATTCCTAGCCAGGGAAAAAACAAAGCTGTTGCTTTCTGATACAAATTGTCTTAGTTTCTACAGATGTGTGATGAAAGAGAAACATAGGTAGGCCAAGGTATGAGTGCGTACTGTGTTGGGAATACATTGTGTTATAATAATGCGTAATACAGGTTGAGCTCCCCACCTGTCTCCCTTACTCCCAGGTCTGGATAATAAATAAAATCAGGGCCCTGGCCTGGGAACACTGCTAGTTGGCAAAAGTCGGATTTATCTTATCCTAAAATGCCAAATAAATGCATAATTTTTATTAATAAATTATAAAAGACCTCTTTTTTATTAATACATGTGTGTGTATAAAAATGTGATAGACATAAAATCGATGTTTTTATCGATATTTCAATTATGTCGATGTTTTCATCGACATCGAAAACTTTTTGGTGATGTATCGAAACATGAACAGTGATGGCAAATTTTTCGAAACATCGACTTTTCGATCAAATTTATCAGCACTTTGTGTATGAAATATTTCAGTGTAGTCCATAAAACTTGGTTTTTCATTTGGTCACACTTCTGATCACTTTTCTAAATTTAAATACTAAAAGAACTATTATTTTTATTTATAACAATGAATGTAATAGGAGAAATGTACACTTCAAGATTGATTCTAATATTTTAAAAAAATCTTCATCTGAAACTTATCGGGTACTTTCTACTTCTTACGAAATCCATTAAACGAAGAACTATAATTCTTCCAAGGCATCTCTGCCAACTATTATCACCGCCAACCTGCACACATAAAATTATTGAGGTTGTAATAAGAGACGTACTGGGCTTGTCTCATATCAATATTGGCTTAACAGTACATGACCTTCACTTTTGCATTATATAAATTTACAGAATGGTGGCAAACTGTCGAAAATTAAAATCATTTACCCTCTACCATTGAGTAATATGTTGCAATATATTTGATCTTACCTAATTATTTAGAAATTAAACTCTAAATCTGGTGTTGTAAAAATGTTTGACTACATCAAAAAGCAATACCAAACACAGCTTCGGACGGAATGAAGGAGCATGCTGAAACAAACCTACTTTAACTTTTGGAAATACTCGTATGGTAGTATGGATGAACTGTCGACAAGTAGCGAGAGCAGTAGGTCTATAGCACATATGCTAGTGACCCATTTTCCAACCCTGTCCCATATACCCACCTTTTCCACTACTGTTTATTTCATTTCGAATGGTTATTCACGGTGTTTTTCTGATTTCCTTTACGCAGTGGAAATAGATTTACAGAACAGATTTCCAGTTCATAATTGTTATTCCCGCCTTTGCTTCAAAAATGCAATTTGGCAACATTGCGTTGCAGGCGATCAACATTTCATCTTGGAAATATACAAACATCTCCCGAAATCAATGTCATGTAATACATCTTCCAATAACTAAATTACTCGGTTTAAACTCAACCAATACTAATAATTATTAGAATTTCAGAGACGATAACGTATTATGGGTTTGCAATCTTCGCCAAGGAAACACACATCGAGGGTTTTGTAAAGCGAGATGGAAATAAATTATGTTGCACAGTAGCCTACATATAATGTACAATACGTGTAATGGTGATAAAACGAGCAAGATATAGGACATTCATTACAACAATAACTTATTATTGCAGTAGGTTCGTTTTTCCGTTTTTTATTCAAATCACTTAATTTGTTTCCGTTTATTTATATGAATAATATCAAAGTTCTAATAATGCAGAGTGCGAAGACAAGATTGAGCAGCTCGACTTCTTTGCGGACCACACAAATGTAGTCAAATAAACATTTTCCATTTTAACTAAAACATGCATTAATATGTACTCCTCAATTATCATAAAAATATGGGGATTGGACGAATACCTGATTTTCCATTGAAACAAAATACACGATACGGGATATCGCTTTATGAAATACGTTCATAGTCATAACTATTTTTCATTTCTTCCCTTTAAATAGGGTGGGCAGAAAAGAGAAAATTTTTAAATATCACATATACTCCAATAATTTTCTAATTTGAAAGAAATGGCAATGTTCCAGAAAAATATTTGATAGCATTCAGAATAATAATCTGTCCCGTTAAAGAGATACATATATTTATACTAAATTAATTAAAAATTTTAGAATAACATGCGGTTGTCTGATTAAACACTGTCAGTGTAATCCATATTGTTTAGAACATTGTTATACAGCTGAGACACAAACCAAATGAGAGAAATCACCGTCAATGAATCCATCACTTCACTCTTTGTGTCCATGTAGGAAAATCACATCCTCTTAAAGTGATCGAGTATTTCACTTTTTAGTAAGTATTCTCACTCACCTTTCTTGGAGGAGGTTGCATGTTTCAATTGTACTGCGCCCCAGCCCGAAGCCCTTCCCTAACCCTTGTGGCCTCAAAGCACACCCAACGTATTCTGTAGCCACGCTCAGCTTGACTTGCGCCGAACGCTCATGATATTGATTCCTCCAGACTACATTAGTCGAAGGCTGTTCCGCTCAACTGTGCCCCTCCATATATTGATGTGCCAAAAATGGGTTACGAATTCAAAGCTGCTCGTTAGTTTATACCATTATAACATCGATAATAACGTTATTCAAAATGTTTCAATCCTTTTAAAATTTACATTTTTAATCAATAATTATAAAATGCATGTTCTTAGCACTGAGGTAAATCTCAATACGTGTCCCTAAAATAAATTAAATGAATACTGAAAAATTACACGCAAATGCCTAATATTGTATTATGTTAGCATAATTCACGAAAGTACAATATGCAAAATATTTAAAGAATAATTAGCCACTATTTCATGTACCAAGATTACAATACAAATATTTTGTTATATTGAATACTATCAATCAAAATAGTTTGTTATGTGGATTTGTACTAGATTTGCATCGTTGACGTCAACTGTCTATAAAAACACGAAGAACTGACACCATGATGCAAGGATTTTTGCAACTCGTTATTCATGCGGACGCGAAATTGAGAAATGTACTAGTACACATATTGGAATTTGGTGTTGCCTTCTTTCGTATGTCCCTTTTACATACCTATTTACGAGAATAATGAGCAAATGAATGATGAACAATCGGGTATGTCAAAAAAACAACCTATCCTTTGCTTTAAAAATACAATAAGTGAAGAAATTTCTACTTGTAATTTTAAAGTTGAGATATTGATATAACCATTGCAATCAGTTTCAAATTTATCTTTTATCTAGATTAAGCTCTTTGGCATAAGATTAGATGGGACAACTCTTAACAACACTTAAATAAACCAATAACTATTTCCACAAAATTAAATTGTAGTTTTAACGTAATACAAAGCTAGTCCATTATTGCAGAATTTAAAAATAAGTCGAATCTCATTTTTGAAGTATTATGTACTGAAAAATATCCTTGCTTTCTTTTAATTTAGGAAACGATCAATAAATCATTAAGTGCCATTTTTTTTCATTTTACAACTAAAATTTGCCAACGATTAAATTATTTCGTATTCTTTCGGTTGCATTTTCACCCAGTTTGAATAAAATGTCAGCTCTATTTAAGTTTTCCTTTCTCGCCTTACCACGTACGTAGTAAACATAAAATTAAAATATGAGTTTCAAATTCAAAGGGCCGCGACGTCAGCCAAATCGACAGGGGAATATCCATTTTGAACCAAATTGATTGAACGGTTTAGCCGCCAGCGTTGTTCACAGACGGACAGACAGACGTTTTGCCGTAAATCGACTTTTCGGTAACAAGAACCCACAAAACATGGATTCTAGCTTCACCACGTATTAGAGGACAGACATTTTTTTCAAAATTTATCAACTGGATTTATCCACTTTTTCGTTACCGTACTCTGTATTTTTCTACCGAAAATTCGTCGTTTTTCACGCAGTATTACGTGACTTTCTCCCCACTGTGTAAGCGATAGCGAGAAAGTGAAACCAGATCATGAAATAAGATTATATACAATTTTTCGGAAATATGAGTTTTTGTGTCATATATAGAATATTATTAAACAATTATTTTCTTAAAACGGATCCTATTTTTACTTTCTCGCTACGGAATAGAGGAAAAGGTGTGTAATGCTGCGCGAAAAAACGGCGAATTAACCCGAAACACTGAGTACTAGGTACGAAACGAAAAAGGATCCTGGTAACAAAAAAGTGGCCAAATCCAGTTGTTAAATTCAGAAAAAAGATCCTCTATCACTTCGTTTAGCCAGAATACATGTTTTGTGGGTCCTTGATAACGAAAAATCGAATGACGGCAAAACATTTGTACGCCTATCCGCCTGTCTCTGAACAACATTAACGGCTAGTATAAACCGTTCTGCCGATTTTCTCCAAAATTGATATTCCACAATCGATCTGGCAGATAAGGAAGCTCCTTGAATTTAAAAACGATATTTCAATTATGGTGGGTGCTTTACATGAAACCCCTTGGCATTTTCCAAATTAAAAAAAAGGCTCCATCATTTTTTAATACAAATTTAATTGTTGGATAGGGTGAAGGACGTTTAAGATAACAGTGCAGGTGTCATGTTCGTTAAAAACATTAGTTTTTCGAAAATTGCAGAAGTTCAAAATTTTTTCGGAGTCTTCGTACAACAAAAATATTAAAGATGGAGATTTTTTCCTCAATGAAATCAGTTCCTTAAAAACAGATTTTAAGAGAAGTGCATGTACAATATTTCGAAATTTTGAGTACTTTTCGCGTACTTTTGCGTGCAAATACGGGCGAAAAAGTATGTGCTGTTTTAGCGCCACTAGTTTTCTTTACATTTTCCCTCGGACATCGTAAAGAAAAGGGAGCAGGTCTCATTTCCGGCGAACACTCTTTATTACCGAAAATTGCACAGAATTAACTTTGCAACTTTGCAAATGTACAATATTTGATGACAGATTTTTACCACTCGCAAATTAGTAGAGAGAAAGTTATGTAATGCTGCGGGAAAAGTGGCGAATTTTCGACAGAAAAACTCTTATTACCGGTAGATAAATCCAGTTACTAAATTTAAAAAGTATTCTTTAACTCGATGTGTAGCCAGAATCCATGTTTTGTGGGTCCATACCGAAAAATCGATTGACGGCAAAACGTCGGTCCGTCTGTTTGTGAACATCGGGCGCGGCTGAACCGTTCATCCGATTTTCTCCAAAACTGGTATTCCCCTATTGATCTGGAAAATGTCGCCAGCCCTTGAATTTGAAACCGGTATTTTGATTTTGGGGCTACTGTACATGAAGTCCCTGGACATTTTCTAAATGTTTCAAAATTTTCAAAACAATGGCTCCAACGTTCTTGATTAAACTTTGTTATTGGATAGTAAAGGACGTTTAAAAGAATCGTGTAGATCTCATGTTCGTTGAGAATCCTGGTTTTTAGAAAATCGCTAAAGTTCAAAATTTTTTCGGCGTTTTTCTACAATTAAAATATTAAAGATAGCGATTTTTTCCCTTAATGAAACATGTTCTTTAAAGATAGATTTTGAAATAAAGTCATGCTCAAGTTTTCGAAAATTTGAGTACTTGCGCATAATTTTGCATGGAATATAGGCAATTTTTAATTGTGTTTAAACAATTTTTTCTTGTAATCAACAATTTTTATTAAATTTTGAACTCGTAATCTTATAAGATGACAAAGAGAATGAGGCAAGTCCCATGTTTGTTTAAAACCCTGATTTTAAAAAATGGCCAAAAATTCTATTTTTTTCCGCGTGTTCCTACAATTATGAAGATAAACATTTTTTCGGAATGAAATGTGTTCATCAAAAACAAATATCATATAATCTTAAAATAATATCATGTTCAATTTTTCGAAAATATGAGTATTTTTTGCGAAATTTTTTGTCACCATAGGCAATTTTTGTTTTTAGTTATCTTAAAAACAGCGCAGTTTTTGAATTAAATTTGGACGTTTGATAGGGTAAAGAACTCTTACGAATGGTGCACTTACATGTTCAGTGAAATTCTTGATTTTTCGAAAATTTAAAAATGTTTAACTTTTTTGTCGTCTTTCTAGAACTACAATTGTAAAAACACTTGTTTTTATACAGAAATGCGTTCATTAAAAACAAATCTTTAAATAGCATCAAGTTTTTTTTCTTTTTTTTTCTTCTCGAAAATATGAGTACTATATGTGGAATTTGGCGTCAAACATAGTCGCCCGCTCCGAATATTCTGCGCTTCGTGAACGCAATGGACGAGCTTCCAGGCAGGTGGATGCTACGGAAGTTAGAATTTGTACATTATTTCATATTGGTTTGTTCCTTTCTTACATTCGAACGTTTGTTATACATTTAGAAAATAATCTTTTACTAATTATTTAAAACCTATTTGATAATACGTTTGTTTGTCCGTTTTGTCAGAAATATATTTACATTCTCAACGTATTGATGTATTTTCGTTCAAGCAATCCGCAACCTTAATCGAAATTAGTACAATTAGGTATCAGGTATTAGGTATTAGGCCTGTTCTTCCAGGTATCGCTCCAGATCATGGACATATATATGGCGGAGAAGATAACCTACTCCCCAATTTTTGAACTAAATATTTTTCAAATTTGAAATGTAATTGAAATTGCATTGTTAGCACGTAACACGCGTGCGGGCAGTGAATTTTAGGAGTATTCGTTTACATCTCATTATTAAACTAAAGTAATAATTTAATGAAATTACAGTGTAATAGTTATAGAAGTTAATGCAATTAATAATAATTATAATAATAATATTAATAATAATAAAAACTACAATGTTGATGATGGTATAGAATTTCGTATTTTTACTTTCTCGCCTTAAGAAGGTACTGCGGAAAAAAGCTGTGAATTTAGGGCAGAAAAATTCTTAATGCCTTAATCGCATATTTTCCTTGAAGACAGATTTTGAAAAAAATGTATGTTTTTCGAAAACGAGTACTTTTCGCGTAAATTTGCGTGAAATATAGGCAATTTTTAATTTTGTTTACATAATTTTTTCCCCAAAACATCTCCATCGTTTTTGATTAAATTTTGTTTATGGATAGTTTAAAGGACGTTTAAAAGATTGGTGCAGGTCTCATGTTCGTTAAAACTCCAGATTTTGTGAAAACTCCTACAACTACAATTATGAATATACATTTTTTGTGAATGAAATATGTTCATCAAAAACATCTTCAAATAATGTCACGTTCCATTTTTCGAAAATATGAATATTTTTCCGAAATGTTGTGTCAATAAAGGCAATTTTAATTTTTTTAAAACCATCTTTTCTTAAAAACGTCACAAAAGCGTAAATTACCCCTACGAGAATAGCGCAGGTCTGATGTTCGGTAAAATCCTTGATTTTTCGAAAATTAAAAACATGATCTCGGCGTCTTCCAACAACTACAATTCTTAAGATACATTTTTTAAAATGAAATGTGTTCATTAAGAACATATCTTTAAATA